AAAATTTTTTAGGAGAATCATTTATGGGGAATGCTTGCAGCGATAGCTACAAATGCAAAAAATTTTTACGCTGCCGAAATTGCATATGGCGCATTGGATGAGGTATAATTGTTTGAGGCAATAACAATAAAATATTTTGCTATAAAATTAATTTATAATTTATTTTCCATTTAATTAATTTCTAATAGTAAATAGTTTTTTAAGTAAATTTTTATTAAGTTAGTAAGTTAAATTTTTCTTCATTTAAATGATATCATTATCATAGCAACTGATATTAGTTAAATGCTATCGAAATAGTTTTTCTTTTTTGAATTAACGATTATTTCATAATTTACAAAAAGAAAACAAGCAATTTCAATTCCACTTTCGATTAATTCGATCGAAGTTTAACTCATTTTAAAGTTTAATTCAAATTAAATATCATAATTGAATATTAATATCATTAATATCAAATTAAATATTATCAAATTAAATAAATATCATTAAATTAAATATCATTCAAATTTAATAAATATTTTTGTTTTTGATAGTTAAGTAATTTTGTATGACAAAATAACGATAGTTTTGTTTAGCTTTAAAATTTTAGATTGAAAAAGTGAAATTTTTATCACAGTTACGTGAGGAACAAAATACTGAAATTCGATCGGCAATGATGACAGCTTTTTTGGGAAATTTCAATGATGCCGATAGTATTCTTGTACAAAATGGATGTATCTTTCGTGCTATCATGTTCAATATTTCATTATTTCGATGGCAACGGTTAGTATATTTGCAATATCATTTCAATAAATTTTAAAAATTTCTAAGACTTTACAACTAGCTAAATAACTGATATATACTACTGATATAACTGATAATAACTAATTTAATCTATCAACAATATAATTAAGTATAATCAAAAATTGAAATCAAAGACTTTACAACTAGCTAAATAACTATGCTACTAATATAATTAATATAACTGATGATAAATAATTTAATCTTTCAACAGTATAATTTGGCATAATCAAATTGTAATTTATTTCTAAGATTTTACAACTGGCTAAATAACTAGGCTACTAATATTATTGATGACAACTGATTTAATTTGTCAACTATAATTTAGCATAATCAAATTGAAATTTATTCTACCATGAAATTATATGCAAATTTCTTTCTTTTTTTTCTTTATTAAAGAGCGCTTGAATTAGCGATAAAATATAAAATGCATTTGGAAACGGTAATTGGTTATCGTCAAAAATATTTGCATGAGACGGGACGTAAAGAGAATGATCAGAATTTTCTAAGGTATCAATCAAAGGTAAACATTATCTGTTTGCAAATTATTTTTTAAAATTGATAATTTAATATTGATTATGTAACAAAATTTTCTTTTGATTAATTAAAAAATTTTAAATTTTTTAAATAATTTCAATTGTTTTATCATTTTTAAAATTATTCTACTATTCGATAATTAGCAAATTTGATTTTAGTTGAAATGTTGATGTAAAATTCTATTAAATTTACAGGTAGAAATTGATTGGGATCACATTCAACAAATTATCCATGAAGATGAAGCCAAAGATCATTGAATTTTTTTCTGGAAAAAAGTTGTTGAAATTTTTGAAATCCCATATTATTCAAAAGATCTTTCCAGTATTAAAAATAAATAAATAAAAATCAATAAATATTAAATTTTATCAAATTCAATCACTTTATATGAATTCTCTCAAAATTTCATACTTCGTTATCCTTTGATTAGCTCTGATATAAATTTTTAAAAAATTCTTAAAAACTTTTTCTTTGTTTGACTATTTGAAATTTCCCAATAAAATATACTTTCTGGTGTTTCACTAACCATATGTCTGATAAGATAAACATATTACGAATATCTTATCATCATATCATACATCTCACATAAGATTTATATATTTGCTAATCTTTCAAAAATAGTTGTATTCGATACTGTAATTCATTAATCAAATCCAGTTATCAATACTGCTAATCAAAGATATCATTTTACTGAATTAGTTGTATTCGATACTGTAATTCATTAATGAAATCCAGTTATCAGTACTGCTAATCAAAGATAACATTTTACTGAATTAGTTGTATTCGATACTGTAATTCTTCAATCATATCCAGTCACCAGTACTGCTAATCAAAGATAACATTTTACTGAATTAGTTGTATCCGATACTGTAATTCATTAATCATATCCAATACAGGTGTACTATAAAATGTGAAAGCATATAACATTCAATTTGCAAAAGAATTTTGCATGAATTGATAATTAAACAAAGTTGAATGAATGAATATATTCCACTTCAATTTGCATCCTTTTATTTATTCCATTCATTTTAATCGAAATTATTAATTCGATTCAGTTTCATTTATTTATGAGTGAAAATACGAAAGAGTTCTAATTTTCAATGTTAGCTTCATTTTTGCTATTTCTTCTTTATTTACTTTAACTATTCTTTTCTTCTCCAATTTCTTCTCGCTAAAGTCAGCTATTTTGATTTCTTATTCAATTTCAGCTTTTCATTCATTTCCAGTCTTTCATTCAATTTCAGTCTTTCATTCATTTTCAGTTTTTCAGTCATTTCCAGTCTTTCATTCATTTTCAGTTTTTTATTTATTTTCAGCCTTTCATTCATTTTCAATCTTTCATTCAATTTCGGTCTTTCATTCAATTTCAGTCTTTCATTCATTTTCAATCTTTCATTCATTTTCAGTTTTTCATTTATTTTTATTGTTTTAATTTTTTTTGGATAATTTTCATCTTTTTATTTGTCTATCTTATCATATTTAATTTATTCATTTAGTCTTTAATAGCATTATTAATCGGTAAAATTCATTTAAACATTTCATGATGAATATTTTCATCTGAATTATTGATTTCAATAAAATTAAAGCAGTGAAATTTTATGATAAATTCATTTATCATGATATTAATTTACATATGTGATTGATTTATTGATTATGAATAATAATTATTAAATAAAACATATTCCTTAATTCTGAAATGAAAGGGATAAGAGATAAGTTCTAAATTAAACTCATCATCAGGAATTAATTTGATTTCATAAGTGAGTAAACTTCAAAGGTCATGACCCAGTTTTATATTACTTCATATGCAATATCCATCTAACATTTTAACTTCAAATTTTACATTACATTTATGCGAAATTTCAGAAATGATAAGAACAGAAAATTGAAATTAATCCCTTTCCCTTCTCATTATGCATCAAATCAAAACTGAAAATTTATATATGCAAGTAACAGGTGATATATGCAAAGCATTTCATATATATGTTAATACGGATAGAATATATAAAGATAAACAAATGAAACCAATAATAGAATTTTTCAAATTTTATTATTAGTCTTAACTGGCAGTTCAAAGTTCAATCACTATTTTCAATGTTTCTTAGCTTTTTTAATTCATATTCATTTCTTCTTCTATTATTTTATTTTAATTTTTTAATTAATTTTTAATTACTTACAATTTATAATAAAGTAACTTTGTTTTTCGTAATTCTTTCTTACTTTCTTTTTTAACTTACTTCTTTCACTACAAATCTATTAATTATTCATTTGTAAACAAAGTTTTGTTACTTTATAAATAAGCGAAAAAAAGCTGATTATTAAAGTTTAATAAGTTCTAAAGAAAATTAGAATTTTGAGAGGATGGAAGATGAAAAATTAAACCAGTAAATATATCCATGTATTGATATATCGATAATTTGTAATTTTCATTTAACACTTATATCTCAGCCTAAATTGGAGATTCTTTCCGTTATCTTAGAATATGAAGGTTGCCGTTATTCCGGAAACCATAAGATAATTCCAGACAATAACATTTAACATTTCTATCTTAGACTAAATCGATGATTATTTTTCTTATTATCTTAAAATACGATTACTATAATTTCGGAAGGAATTAGAATACCATAATTCCGGATAGCATATAAAAATTACTATAAATAATGAAAAATTTGCAAAATAAATTTCATTTTTTTACATTTGCTATTAATATTAAAATACATTTAATTTGCATACGCTAATTTTTCATTAAATATTTCAATTGTTAAAAAAATTGATTATACATATAATATTTTATTATCAGAAATATATATTTTTTGTTATATTTGTTTTTGTTATTTTTAAATTGAAATTAAATTCAAGAATATATTTTATAGTATAAAAAAATAGTACCAGAAAGTTAGGAAAATAGGAAAAAGAATGAATGTAAGCTTTAGCAATTATATAGGCATAATCATAAGCATAGTAGGCATATAGGCATAGGAGTAAGCATTAGGCATAGCTAGTTAAGCTTTCTGCAAAAGAGAAAACGATCGATTTCACAATTGCTAATCTCGAGTTTCTCCCGGTTACTCTCATTATTGACATCACACCCAACTTACACTCGCATAAATTATTGTTTGTGAAATGAAAATTTTTAAGTAAACAATCGTTATCATTATTTTAATGCTATCTGATAGCTTTTTTTCTTCTCTTCTTCATCTTATCGTAGGAAAAATTTAGTTATTCTTCGTTAAGAGAAATAAAAATAACGGTGGCGCTTTCGTCTTTTTCATTTAATATTGGCGCTTTCGTCTCTTTCATAGCGGCTTTATCTTTCCATTTATCATATATATATATATATATCTCTTCGCTCTCCTCATTTTTCCATCATTTTATTTATTTAAACTTTGATAGAGCTGTTTAAATTATTGCGAAATATTTTTTTTAAAGCAAATTTAATCTTTCTAAAATACTATAAAATAAAATATCAGATTTTTTTCCCATTTATGACTTAAATATTTTTCTTCGTTTATAAAACTAATCAATAGTATAAAACTATTAAACGAGAAAATCAATAGTATGAAGCTATTAATTTTCTCGTTCAATTGAAATTTGCACATCGTAAAAATTTTCTTTTAGATCATCTATTGTTATCATTCACTATCATCTATTGTTATCACTTAGTTAGAATCGCATATTTAATTATCTTTTATCACAATCATTTATATATTTACAATATATGTTTGTTTCTTTCCATTTTTCTTGTGATTTTTTTTCTGATCGTTAACATATATAATATTTGTTCATTTATCTGTTAAGTTTACTTGTAAACTAATCTGTCAGCTTTCATTCCTTATCATTTCACAAATACTCTAAATTGAATGATTAAAAAGTTTTAAATTAAAATTCAATTTTTTATCAGAATTATATCAAACAATTATTATCATATAATTATATCAATTTAGTTTACATTACTAGCATTTTCTTTATTTCTTTTCTTGCCACATTTACATTAAATTATAAGTAGAGTTATTTTAGATATAAAAGCATTCCAATGATAAAATTTGATTCCCTTTTTTCAGTAATAATTAGTCAAAAGTTACTAATTATTTTTTTAAAACAAAGCGAATTGTATTTCAACTAAAAAGTTTTATATTTGATTTTAAAATGATTGACAGATTTGATATATAACAAATATCTTTTCTTCCTTTGTGCACCTTTTTTTCCTTTACTTCACTTCCAGTCAATACTTATATACTTTCTGTGTGTGTGTGTGTGTGTGTGTACATTAAAAGGAATTGAATTACTTTTAGTATATATTAAAATATCTAAAAGCATTTATACTAGAAAATAGATTAGTTACTAAATACAGGTATATTATTGTTTTAAATAAACTTTCGTACGATTTCTACGCTATTATAAAAAGGTATCATTAGTAAAAGTTTTTATTTCATCGATTTTTAGTGTATATTAAAATATCTGAAAACATTTATACTAGAAAATAAATTAATAAAAGCATGTTATTGTTTGAAATAAACTTTTGCACGATTATAAGTATCATTGTAAAAGTTATTTTATTCCTAAAAACTTTACTCTTATAGCTTTGTAATTTGATTGGTTCTTTTTTTTTCACCATTGCATATCTTATTATCATATTTTATTGAATTATTTCAAAGTAAAATATTAACGTAGAAAATAATATATCGTAGAAAATATTAAAATTCAAATCATTCGGAAGCTTATTAATTTTATCTTTCCTTTCTCATCCTCTCTCTCTGTTCTTTTCTCCCTAGCTTTCCTTATTTGATATCTTTTTTATATGTTTCTTTTCAAAATATGCAAATATGACTTCATTTTATGCATCTTAGATTTTTTGTAAAAATGACCTCAAAGTTTTGTTAATTTTTCACTTAAATTTATTTTTGAAATTTTATTAAAAATATTTCCAACAAAAAATTTTTGTTATTCCTATTTGAAGAGTTAAAACAATAAGAAATGTAAATTAACTTTTAGAATGATATAATATGAAAAGCAATTATTTTAAATTTTATGCTGAAATTAATCGTAATCGTATATTAAATAAAATTTTCATTAATTAAATATTGCTTAGATATTTAATTCCATGTAAAATATAAACTAAAATGTTATCAAATTAAGAATAGTTTTTTTTTTAAAAATTTTGTTAAAATTAAATTATGATATAACTGTTATCATTTGTTATCACTGATAATAATCTCACCTATTTTCACTATTATTCATTCATAATTCATTTTCGATGATT